CAGCTCCCAGGCTCACCTGCTACAGCACCCGATGACAAAGTAGCAATAACTGGAGTCTTCGTTTTGGAATTGATTTGAGCTAGACATTTGAAAAGCAACCCATCTTCCGCCATAGCATAGATTACACGTGGCATTGGGAAAATGGATCCAAGAAGACTGAGTAAAAAGCAAACACATGCAATATGGCAAAACATAATTCATGCAAGGTTATACCAAAGAAAAGAGAAACAATGCTAATTAATGGCATGTTTCATTGAAAACAAAATTTACAATAGGAAAAATATTAAACTGGCAGAAGTTTTATTCTTTGGTAATGTAATTGTTCCACTGGAAACAATAAAAAACTAAATGGATAAATAACTTTTTCTAGCACTGTAGTTCTTGGGATATTAGTGGATAGCTCTATGCAGCTAAGTGTTACTGTCTGTCAGCAAGAATGAATCAAACAAGCTGTACCACCTCATACATTTCTGCAGCTCCTTATGACAATGTTAATCAGTATTAACTCAAAATAAGCAATAAAGGGTTTATTCTAACTAAATTATAATAAATAAATTAATGGAGATTGCCGATCTCCTAGAACTGGAAGGGACCTTGAAAGATCATTGAGTCCAGCCCCCTGCCTTCACAGCAGGACCAAGTACCATCCCTGACAAATTTTTGCCCCAAATGGCCTCCACAAGGATTGAACTCATAACCCTGGGTTTAGCAGGCCAATGCTCAAACCACTGAGCTATCCCTTCCCCCAAAATAATAACTCTATTATTCTTTTCAATTCAAGCACCTACAACCAAGCTTCCTTATTATTCTGGTTTTAATTAGGGACTGAAGGTAAACTATTTGTTTAAAACTTGATATTAGTAGAATTTGAAAAGTATTTTGAACTACTGATAGCTCAAAGTTCCTTTTGTATTTGAAATATTTAAAAATTGTCATGTTTTTCCTCTTCACACCGAAATAACCACAATACAAACCCCCCCACCCAAACAAACAAATTACAAACCCACATGGTATAGCCTCTGCAACAGCCATATCACTTCTTAATCAGTTGAAACTGAGGTTTTACTATAGAGCCAGGAAACCCTTCTTGCTACAGAGATCTGAATACATCACTTACATTCATTCACTGGGTGTGCCCCTTTTATGTTTCACAAAAGTTAAGCCACTTTTGCATGGCTTTTGAAGCATCGTATTAAAAGTAAATGTATGCGCAGCACTACTAATCATTCATACATGAACTGCTTTTTGTGCTGATTCAGGAAATCACATAAGCACCTACTTAAAGTTAGCATGTGCTTAAGTGCCCTTCCCCAATAAAGATGGTTTCCTGAATCACAGCCAAGAAATCTGAATTTGAAGAATAAATAATATTTTTATGCTTATACCACCAAAACCTTTACATATTGGTATTATATTGTCTTTGTGGAAATTAGTTCTGCTTTTTTCCTATCTTCAGGGTGCATTCTGGTACATAATGGAAATATATAAATTCTATTAACATTTTTATCTCAAATGACAAGGCATGGTGATAAGTAAATGTTCAGATCAAAGCAATATTCCCAACATCTGTCACAATCTAGTCAACTCTTCTAGCTAAAATAATATATTTGATCAAACTTTATATTAAGACTACACCAAAATACTCCCAACATGTCAATCTCCAAGTAAAGGAATTATAAGTAAAACTTTTTTTTATTAAAAAAATAAAGTGAGCTACCACCTCTCTCAGAATCAACTCAGATGTTAAAAACTTTGAAAAACTTTAGAAGAAAAATTAAGAAATCAATAGTTAAAATTAGATAGCCAATGTTTTTACTATTTATGTAAAGTTTTCTTTGTTGCAAAAAGCATTTGCGCAAGAGGGCTTTTTCCCGAATGGGAGAGTTATTGTATTTGCGGAAGAACACTGACAATCTTACATTAGATCGTCAGTGTTCTTGCGCAAACTCAAAGCGGCCAGTGTAGACAGCTGGCAAGTTTTTCCGCAAAAGCAGTAGCTTTTGCGGAAAAACTTGCCAGTCTAGACGCAGCCATGGATTATTTCAGTGACATTAACATTGCTTCTTAAATAAGGCAAGCCTGCTTCATTTTTAAAGCCAGCTGTTGAACCCATACATCTCCCATTTCTTGAGGCCATTTTAAACACTTTAGTACTGTATATGATCTCAGTTAGCAGAAATGGAGAATATTAGGGCTGTTCCTAAATGTAAGCAAAAAGCACTATTCTTTTCTAAATAGGTTGTTATGCCACATTACATATGGACTATAATATATGCCTATGTCTACACTGGTAGCTTCTTGCACAAGAACTCTTTCACGAAGAGTTCTTGTGCAAAAACTCTTCCAGAAGAGAGCGTCTACACTGGCATGTGCTTTTGCGCAAGAGATGTACTTTTGCGCAAGAGCATCCATGCCAGTGTAGATGCTCTCTTGTGCAAGAAAGCTCTGATGGCCATTTTAACCATAGGGCTTTCTTGTGCAAGAAATTAATGTTGCCTGTCTACATTGGCCTCTTTTGCAAGAATAGTTGCGCAAGAGGGCTTATTCCTGAGCGGGAGCATCATAGTTCTTGCGCAAGAAGACCTGATTTTATACAGGAGAACATCAGTTTACTTGTGCAAGAACACACAGCCAGTGTAGACAGGCAGCAAGTTTTTGCACAAAAGCGGCCACTTTGGCGCAAGATTGCACCAGTGTAGACACAGCCTATGGGAAGATGCATGTACTACAGTTATTAATATATCTCATAATCTAGTAAACTCTTCTAACTAAACTAATATACTTGACCACACTTTATATTAAGATTACATTTATAGTTTTCCATTGGTTAATTATTGATAGATGTTTTCATCAGTTGTTATAGTGTCCAACAGGTTGTTTATAATTATGACTTTCAATCACAACTTCTATAGATAGTTTATAATGATACATATTACTCATTTCAGTAACATGCTTATAATATTTATTAAATGTTAACTCTAAAGAAAATGTACTCTCACTATAAGAAGTGTGGATATACATTGAAACATATTGTATTTTTCAATTATCTTATTTACCAATAAATTAATACTTTTTTCTTCATTACCTTGTAGACAACGCACAGAGGGACCCCACTGCTACAAGATACTTTGCAGGACCCCATCCAACATATTCAAATGCTACAGGAAGAGGACTTTTCTCATCTAGAAGATAGTATGGCATCATAAGAGTCAAAGCTGCCGAAACACCAAAATAGGCCATAAAACAGACAAGCAGAGAAGTCACAATTCCAATAGGTATAGCTTTCTGAGGATTCCTGACTTCTTCCCCTGAGGAAGGAAAAAAAAAATTTTTTAGTCATCTAGGAAAACTTTTTATCTTCTACTTTAATGTGTGCCAATATTCAGAAAAGGGCAAGTCTGGCAGTCTACATCTTAAGAATGATGGCTTTAATATTTCATATAGAGTAAAATCAATGATTCCATATGTAACCCAGGACTTTGTGGCCAGATATAGCACAAAACAATAAGTTAAGCAAACTGACATCATACGTGGAATTTTACCGTGTGTGTGCGAGCTTCCTCTTATCATAACTCAAAGCAAGGGGCTTAACTTAAACTTTAAGGGGCATAACTTAAATGTGCTTTGAATGGAATTGCTTCTCATAAACCCAAACAGAAAAGAGACAGAATCACTAAGCATGTCAAAGGGCCTGGATGGGGGTGCCCTACCCATCCATCCACAGCCTAAAGTCTCCCATTCCCCAGATGCCTTTTAAGGAAGGCAGGAAGGGCTGAAACCCCCCTTCCCCCTCCAATTTGTATGGAACATTGCTGGCTGTTCCTACTTGTCAGAGAGTGAGAGGAAAGTGCACAGTTTGCCGCATTCTTCACTTTGGCTGGGGAATGCAGGGGGCAGATGAACATGGACTTGCCCCAGCAAAGGAACCTGTACCTCTCCCCGAGCTGTGCCTGCTGGAGCTGCAGCGGCCAGGGAGAGGCACGTCTCATCTGGCCTCAAGCTACTTTGGAATAGGGTTGCCAGATGGTCTCCCAAAAAATACCGAACACATGGGCTAAAAATTTGTCGAGCAAGAAAAAAAAACACCTACACCGAACACATATCCTGTGTGGCTACTACCAAGAGCCACCAAGCTGGGAACAAAGGAAGGGCAGCAAAGCCTGCTCTGCAAAGCAGCCGCCTGCTACCCAAAGCAGAGAGAGGCAGACCCTGGGGCAACACAATGGCAGGGCAAGGGGGAGGGGCGACCATGGGTAGGAAGGTGACTCCCCCATAGCCAGGTCTTTGGGTGTCCCAGTGGGAAGAAGCAGAAATTCCACCCCAGACAGTTTTGGCTGAGAGCCCATGGAAGGTGCCAAAACACAACTACAAAGCACCTGCAGGCTTCTCTCCTGGACTACGGCACCACAACGCACTTGAACAGAGCTCAGGAGCAGGGGCAGGGCTTCTCCTCCTCCCCAAGGCATCACTCCTCCTCAGATGCAATCAGCTGAGGGCTCCCAGTGCCGATTGCGCCCCACCTCCCAGCCACTCCCACAGCCCCTGCCAGGCTTCCGTCCGGCACCCAGCCAGAAATCTAGGAAATGCCGAACATTGCACATGTCTGGTGTTTTCTGGATTTTTTTTTTAACCAGGCAAAGAGCCCAAAAATTGGACTGTCTGGTAGAATACCAGACACCTGGCAACCCTAGGGAGTAGGCAGTTCTGCAGAGATTCGGCTCCCCACAGGTATTTCCAGCCCCTCGCCCCCCGCCCAGCCCCACACGCTACCATAGGCTCCCAGCACCAATTGTGGCCCCGCCTCCCACCCAGGCTTCTGTCTGGCGCCCAGCTGGAAAAACAGAAAATACTGGACATTGCACATGTCTGGTATTTTCTGAATTTTTTTACCGGACAGAGGATGCAAAAACCAGACTGTCCGGTAGAATACCGGACACCTGGCATCCCTACTTTGGAGAGAAGGCTGAGGTAGTCCCCACTCGCCAGGGCAGCCTGCATATTGAACTCCTCATCCCCAGACTCACCCCATGACAATGATTTTAAATGAAGCATGTACATTTTCATTTTATTTTACAAAAAACAAAAATTAATTGAGTTGACTTGAGCAATGCTGGATTAATCTGTGTGTGTGTGTGTGTGTGTGTGTGAGTGAGTGAGTGAGTGAGAGACAGACCAGGGCAGTAGGCTACAATAGTTTAGTGGAGGGCAGACATTCCAGGAGCAGGGTGAATTGCTTTCTGTTTTCTAAACAAACTACCAGAGACTACTGCCAATCAAGACAGGCAGGCACCTGAGACTAATTAAGAAATTACCTGAAGCAGCAGGCTAATCAGGCACCTATAGCCAATTAAGGCCTACTGTGCTGCTTTAAAAGGTTTCCCCTCAGGTGAGGGAAGGGGAAGGAGAAGAGTGAAGGATTGAGGAGGAGGTCCTTGCTGGAGGACTGCAGAAAGGAAAGGGTGTAAAGATTTGCTCAGGGACCAGGGAAAAGGTACTAAGAGAGCATTTAGGGAAGTGGCCCAGAGAAAAGGCTGCTGTATTGGGGCTAGAGAAAACCCCCCATCAGTTGCTGCTACCTAGGGTCTCTGAGCTGGAACCTGAAGTAGTAAGTGGACCCAGGTTCCCCCAAACCTCCCCATATCACTAAAAAGTCTGCTCCTGGAAAGGGAGGCCAAGATTCTGGAGGGATTTCACCCTAATCTTTTGACTTTGCCAATGATGAGGATGGTTCAGTAAGCTATGACCTTGGCTTCTAGAAAAGGAAAGAGGCACTGTCTGCCAGAAGCTAGGAATGGATGACATGGCATGGAACATTTAATGATTACCTGCTCTGTTCATTCCCTGTGAAGTATTGATTAGTCAGAAGACTGGATAGTGGGCTAGATGGACCACATGATAAGTAAGGTGTTGATCTTTTGTACGTATTAATTTCACATTAGCCTAAAACAAGTTCTAAGGAATATGCAGCATATGAGTTGGTTTTTAAAGCTACAAATGGATGGCAGGAGAGGGATCACATGATGATTACCTACTGTGTTTACTCCCTAAGGGGCATCTGGCATTGGCCACTGTTGGCTGACAAGATACTGGGCTAGATGGACCTTTGGTCAGTGTGGCCATTCTGATCTTCTTATGAACCATTAAGCTTATTTTTTTTAAAGTGGCTTCCCACATGGGCTTTGCCTAAAGAGCTGGTATGGATCAGTTTTCTGCACTCTGCCGTTGTAGCTAAATTTAGGCAAAGAGAATTTTGCTCCCACTGTAATTTTGTTTTTCTGTGAAATGAGAGAGCCACTTTCAGGAGTGATCTCAGTCTCTTTCTGGACATAAACAACAGGACTGTGTAGCTAACAAGACGGTTTATTAGGTGATGAGCTTTCATGGGCCACACCCACTTCCTCAGATCAAATAGTGGAAGAAAATAGTCACAACCATATATACCAAAGGATACAATTAAAAAAAAGAACACATATGAAAAGGACAAATCAAATTTCAGAACAGAAGGGGTCTCAGTCTCTTTCTGGACATAAACAACAGGACTGTGTAGCTAACAAGACGGTTTATTAGGTGATGAGCTTTCATGGGCCACACCCACTTCCTCAGATCAAATAGTGGAAGAAAATAGTCACAACCATATATACCAAAGGATACAATTAAAAAAAAGAACACATATGAAAAGGACAAATCAAATTTCAGAACAGAAGGGGGATGCGGGGG